AATACATTTTCCAGCGCCAGTGGAAGTTCAGTAATGCGCTTGATTGGTTAGTTAGTGAAGAACCAGAAAGGCGACAAGTCAGCTTATTTGAAGGTGTTTGAACAAAAGTAACTCGTCTACATCCAAACAGCGCGGCGAACCCGGTGGAAGGCAGTAAGGGAAAATTGGAGTGACAGCGTGATCAAAAGTTCAAAAAGGATGGCTCCAATGATATATACTCACAACACTTCAGAGAGTTTTGTTAAGTGGAGCTCTGCAGGCCTGCTTCGCTCCCCGGTTAGAAACAATTGAAAGAGGGTGTTTGCCGGCCTACTCCACTCCCGGTTAGAATTAATTGAAAGAGATTATTGGCTTTACATTGGGATTCGACTATTTCCATTTAAACTTGATTGCATTGAAAGTATATAGAAATTCATATATTTTGTTTTTTATATATTAATTCCTGACGCTTCGCGTCGACCGCCGCCTACACCCTTTTTTTCCGGTCGTCTGGGGAAAGATTGCTGGAGTGGATAGGGGAGGTCGGGAGTGGTGTCCAAAGAGATGGATTGTTTATCGCAACATCTATGGCTATGTTGCGGCTGAATTACGCACAAATTCGCTCGTTTGGTGGCTATGTTAAAGCCAATTTAGGCTCCAAGTTCGACCGTTTTGTGGCCTTACCCCCGCTTGGTTAGTCCACATTACATCATGTTAAGGCTAGCTTGATCGTTTAGTGACCCTGTGTTGAGGCTACGTGTTTTTTTTGCAATAATGCTGTTTATGCGTTGTTGGTCAGGAGGGTTTTTTAGCATCGTGGGTGTCCGTTTTTTGGTTTGTTTGGGTTCCTGCAGAAATAGTCCAAAAATGTACCTCTAATAATGCTGTTATGCGTTGTTGGTTAGGAGAGGTTTTCAACATCGTGGGTGTCCCTTTTTGGGCTTGTTTGGGTTCTTGCAGAAACAGTCCAAAAATGTACCTCCAAAACGCTCTCCCCCGAGGCGTAAGACATTTTTCCCCGAAACAAAAAAAGGCCCCCCCTAGTAGAGCTATGAATTGATTACGATGTAACGATGGACTGACGATGATTCCAGCTTGATCCGCCCCTAACACGCCCTGCACCGCAAGCGGTGTGGGCGGATTTCTTGAATATTTATTGGATCAATATATATGGATGGAATTTAAAGAGGAGAATTGTTCGATTAATATTTTGAAATATGAAAAAAGAAACATAAATTATATATATAGATAAAACCTATTTGAATAGAAATTAATGAAGGAAAAATCGATGTTATATATTAGGTATTAATATTAGATTGATTTAATTTGTAAAAAATCGATTCGAAATCGTATATTAAAAACCATAGGAATATTTAAATATAGATTATATTTATTTATGATATATGTTTTGAGTTGTATTTATGGTATGTTTGATTATTATTTATTTGTATTTATATATATTTTTTTGGGGGGAGATATTGATGTAGGAATTATATTAGTGCGGGATTCGTATAGAAATTTATATCTTCTTGCATATATATACGTATATAACTATTCTTAAAATTGTGTTATGATGGAAATGATATTATATTATTGAATTTCGGATTTGAAATTTATAGAAATTAAGATAAATATATTAATTAATATAATATATATATATTGTTTTTATTTGAATATATATTTATTGTTATATATATATATTTTTTTTACGTGTATATATTGGGATTTTATTTAAAATGAATCGATTTTACGCGAATGAATTGATTTTTCGTTGAATTTTATTTTTATACAATAAATGGTCTTTATACGATATGCATTGATTTAAATATATTATTTATATAGAAAATATTTTTGATGCTTAATAATCTATATTAAATATTATTTCTATATATTATTTGACATTTTTATAATAAATATATTTGAAAGATATTATTAAATATAGAAATTTAATTTTATATATTTTAAAATATGATGAATAATATATATATATATATTTTATATTAAATTATAATATAAATATAAAATTAAATTGAATATTTATGAAATATATAAATATAATATTATATTTCTATAATTTGGTAATAAATAAAAAATGATGAATTTATTTTTTAAAAATGTTATATATATAATATAAATATATATTAATATTTTTGATATTTATATTTTATTAGTTTTTTAACATAAATATTGAAATCGATAAAACATATTTAATATATTTGTATATTAATAATATAGAATTTTATAAATATTTTTATATATAAAATATTTTTTAATTTTAATATATAATATATTATTTATAAATATTATATGAAATAGGGGGATATATTTAATGCTATGATTATGAACAGATCCTTTGATTTTTTGTTATATTTCTATAATATGGAAAGGATAATATGATGCCTCTATTGCTGTAGATTTTAAAAAGATTGGTCCCATTCTCACCAGAACGAAGGGGTAAGACAAATATTGCGGCAATCCTTATTTCGCATCCTGGAATATTTTTTGAAGAAATTACAGATGCTGAAATTTAATGCACTAGACGACGCTTTGATACAAGGCCTACGGATATGCCAGATCCTAACCAATTCCATTCACTGGAACTTCTTTGGGTGGAATTATAATGCCAAATATTTCAAAATTATAAAATAGGATTCATTGAATTGCACGTAATGATACGAAATGTTGCTATGTATTTTGCAATTCATTTTGCAGACCGAATTCATTCATAAATTTGCGGTAATGAAATCCATGCCCAAGGAATAATTCCCAGACGACGATTCCCTGGCGATTGGATTTGTCCATGCGCAATCAGGAGAATGTAGAGCTACAGTAATGGCCTGAGACAACTGGTGGCCATAAGACATCGTCCCACGGGACTCCAGTGCAACCCCTTGGCCAATGCCATGGCGTAGAAGCTGCGACGTTAATTCGTTCCTTGCCCAATTAAACCTGATTGAATCCAGGCAATTTATTTTATGCTTGATTTACGATGGATGCAATATTGATTTTTGGAGATCATGGCACCGACAAATCACTCACCTGTTGATCCCACATCGGGAAACAACCATTGAATATTTTTCTTCAGGTTGAATTTGGAGATATATTAAATCCTTGATTCTGGAATCATGGACAATCGCAAAAATATCATTGCAAAATCTAATAGATTAATGGCAACACCTTGTTAATCCATTTATTTGTGCATTCCCCCATCCAAATATCTTGATTTATATGCAGATAAATCGCTTTCCCAAATTAGACCAAAAATTTCGGTATAGTTGCTAGAATCGTGTACAAAAACAAAACGCCTTATAAATTCATAATATCTTATCGAAATATTTTATAGAATTTTAATACACGAAGAAATTAATATATAAAAATTACCTATTAATTATCTCCCATTATCAAATCAATATATATATTTAATTTATCGCAACATAAAAATAGCTTCAGAATTTATTCGAAAATAAATTTATTTCATTTTGTTATACAAAAATACCGCGGATTTTAAATATACATATTCCTAAAATATTCAAATATCCAATATAATATTCTATATTATCCAATATGCAAAAATACTTCTACCAATTATACATAAATCTCTTAAACTAATATATTATAATTTTTTAAAATATATATTTATTAATAGCTTAAATAAATTTCTAAAAATTATTTTTTAAATTAGATAATATAATTTAATATATAATTGCTTAATCTTTATTAAATAATTTAATATATAATTATTTTTTCTATTTATAGTATTATTTGTTTAATTTATATATATCAATTCCAATTAATAAAAATAATATTATAATTAATTATATAAATAATACATAATATATATAAATTAAAGAAAAAATATATTACCACCAATATTTATTACAAACATAATCCCAAAACGACCAATATTATTCCAAAATACACCAATACTTAAGATCAAAGGGGGGGGCGAAAGCTAGCGCTCCAAAATGAGAAAATAGAAGGCAACGAGGTAAGAAAAAACACGACGCTCTTTTTGGAGGCAGGGATAAAGAGTCCTTTATATATGGCTCTCTGCCCGGATCCTCCTGCGAGAGAAGCGAGAGAAGAGAACGGAAAGATGAAAGACAGAGAAAGAAAGAGAAGAGAGAAAGAAAGAGGAGAGAGAGATGAAAAAGAGATGAGAAAGATGAGAGAGAGATGAAAGAGAGATGAGAGAGAGAGATGAGAGAGAGATGAGAGAGAGGAAAGAGACGAGTGAGACGAGTGAGACAGTAAGACAGTGCGGCCGCAAAATACGCAACCGCATGCCAAAGAACGACGACAAGACGGAGTCGAACTTGCGAAGAGGGAGGAGGGAGGGAAGGTGGGAACAAGACAAAGAAGAGGCGAGGGGAGGTGGGGAGAGGGGAGGAGGGGGGGGTCTTCGACCTGAAAAATCAGGGGTTAAGATTTACACCCGGTCGAAAGAAACCTTGCTATCGCAAGAGTAACTCCAGCTAGCTTCGCTAACTTTCGTGATATGCCCAAGATAGATTCGATCCAAAATAAATTCAAAATAATATCAATCTAAGCCGAAATAATCTAGATCCTAATTTAGGCCAAGATAAATCCTCAATAATATATAATATATCGAACATAATTTCAACATCGCCCCAAAGATAAAATCGACCTAACCCCTAATACCGTACCAAAACATAAATTCGACCTGGCCCCAATATCACGATCAAGCTAAAATCAACACAATAACAATATCCACAACAAAAATAATCGTCTTATATATTATATTATATTATATATTATTTATTATATAATATATAGTATATATATATACTTCATTTAGTTATACTATATGTTTGATAGGCATTATCCAAATTCAATATACCTACAATTCCTGCAAATTTGATTGGCCTCTCATCGCATTCTCTCAATGACCTGCAAATATCCATTTGGCTTCAAACCACAACATATTATGGTCCTTCATCCAAGGACATTTTGTTTTACCAACCTCGTGCTGCATGGATGAAGGGCGGCCAGAAGGATCTTCAACCAGCAGCAGCCTGCATTGAGGAAAAGTGGCATCAATCACCCTTGGCCCTTGTCCATTCGTAATTGAACATCTTGAATTTGTCGTTATTTGTTATGTTATACCAAAAGTTCACTTCTGAAGACGAAACTCTGCACTTCCCAGATGTCCATCGCGCTGCAGCCAATCTTGAGTTGAGTGCTTCTACCAAGGAAACCCTGAAGGTGCCTGGGGTCCAGCACCTGCTGCTCCTTCAGCACCTTCAAATCGCCTGAATTGTTTGAACCAAAAAAGTTGGGGTGCCTCCTGTGACCAAGACTCAGGTGCCTCAAGCCATCGCCAGGCTCTTCAGGCAATGTGCTAAGACCTGGAGACTCAGGGGTCCAAGGTTCAGACTGCATGGCCTCCACAATAGGAATGGCCTCCTCCAACCTAATCGAAATACTGTAGTGTGCCTCAATTATTTCCAATGCGAAACACAAATTTGTAAATGGCCACCTGTGTTTAACACAGAGTAGGCCAGCGACCATTTTTGGGAGCATCGGTTGGTTCACAGTTATTGGAATGCCATTTTCCGCACCTTTCTCACTTGGCGCTTCCGGAATAAAGCTACCAGCAGGAAGCTCTGATGGCGGCTGAGCAGGCAAACCTGACGTGGTCCGCATCGAGTCCATAGCTTTGATTCCCTGCCCCCAAAAAACATTCCACATCGTCACATCGACAATTTCCATATTTATATATATATATATATATCCCCCATGCAAACATCTACATATTAATATTGGTACATAATTTTGGTTCTGATAATGATATGTACATATTGAGAAAAAAGAGTCAGGATTCACTGAAGACATTTTCTGTCGTGATGTCCTGCCATTCCACCTGGTTGCTCAACAACCTCGCGTGAACTGGCCACCTCCGCTCCTGCCAGGTAGACACTTCCCTGTTTTCCGGCAACTACATCAAATGTGGTTCAATATTATTCCAAAGTAGATGTCATACAGTAAACACAGCTTTTTCACCTCGGCCTTTAAAACTCGTTTGATTTGGAGGGTGATATGGTTGGGTTGCGCCAAATGTCATGACTCCTCCTGGCTGGTCAGGTAGTTTGCCTGTATCAGCAGCTGCACCTAGGCCAAAATTAGCAGGGCAACGCAATCTCGAATCTCTTTTCCTCCATTGTCGTTTCGGAGAACATCTTATGCACAACCACAACTTGGCTTGACGGCAACACATGCGCAGCATCCAAAGGCACGGAAAGAACCCGGCTAAGCTCTGAGTTCAAGGCTTGGGAGCTGTGAGGGTGCGGTCTTGGTCTTGGCTGGTGGTGCCTCCAAAGGCAGCGCGGAGGACACTCAAACAAAGAGCATCCTACTGACAGGCTGTATGTGGCATGTGTCCACAGGATTCGGACACACCCAATTGCTAGCAAAAGGCAGCAAGCAAGTCAAAAAGAACACAAACGCAGCAGTGAGGCATGCACAAAATACAAAGCAAACAACAAGCAAGTCAAAAACTGTGCTATTCCAACGAAGCCACAAACATCCAAAACAAGTTTCAGATCTTTTTAGGGTTTCAGGCCAATCCAGTCACATTTGGGTTTGCACGACAGAATCATCACATTTGCTCTCCACAGGCTGAAAACTCCACAGGCCGTCCATCAGTCCCGTACCTGGCTCACCGCTGTGCTGCCTGGAGGCAAAAGGTGTTCCCAGCAGTGACCATGCGCAAAGTAACCCAGCACTAATGTGTAGACTCTTCGGAAGTTCACCCCACCCACCCATTTGGGGGGATTTGATTCTCTCGCACCGACGAAGCTTCATCCGCACATGGGCATTCTACGCCAAGTCTAAATGACCGAAAAAAGGCACCTGACTTTGTGCAGCAAAATGGCAAGCACCGACACATACCTGGTGCAACCGTGGAGGTCATGGAATCCACAATGCTCATCTGTGAGATTTGATCATATGGCGATGAGCACACTTAGACCCATGCGTTGACAAAGCCCTTTCTTCGGTGGTGAGGCACCTGCGGGTCTGTCGGTTTCTGGGCTTCTCATCATTTCTTCAGGATTCTTCTTGTACGTGCCCCGCTACCAGGCCCAGCATGATAAGCGAGCCACAGGGGGTGGATAAACATGGTAATGCAAATGGTCGCTCGAGCGCCACATGTTATGTTGCTCAAGCAATCACACACCGCGATCTGGAAAAGTCTTGAACAATTTACCGTAGCCTAGTCATTCAAGCACGCGAAAGCTCTAACAGTGTTCAGCTGCCTGGATACGCTGGATCTGTGGCAGTGGAAGGGCCTCATGGAGCATGTGAGCTTTGTACTCCTAAAAGTCGATACCGATGTTGGGCCCGTGAAGTGCTCTGTTTCAATTTGCCATCGGGCCATTTTCCCAGCAGCTCTTGGCAATGCAGCTGGTTGCAGCTGACCCTGTCACTACTCAACGTAAACTGGAAGTGTGAAGCCTACCCTACCAAACCAGCTTCGGCTAGGAGTTAAGCCCAAACGGCTCGACAAGCCAAGCGGTGCAAACTCATGAATCGCAGGCAATCAACTCGTCAGAGCGAGGGCGTGCACAGCAATCGAAGTACACGCATACCTGGTCAAATTAAGAACAATGCAAACAAGTCTTATGGCAACAGGAGTCCAAAAGTGCTAAACGGGAAGAAAAACCTTCTTCAACTCTGTCTTCAACTATGGCCGTTTGTCAACTGGCTGGACCTATGGACCTATTGAGCATCCACATCAGCTTGCAAACAGGATGCACAAAGCACAATGCAGTACATGAAATTCCCAACTGCTGTTGAAACCACGGTCGATAGCCGTTCGTGCGACTGAAAGAACTGAAAATAGAGGTTGAGAAAGCCGCCCAGGCTCATTGCAAAGTACCTGCTGACCATTTCTTCAAGAAACTATACCGCTTCTCTCTCTCTCTCTACGTGCAGTATTTCTCATCCACATCAAAAACATCAGCCTTTGAAAACAGTTGCCATGGCACATGGGATAGCTAATGCTACCAGATCCACGGTGCTGAAGAGAAGTTCGGATCTGCGGCAGCAGCTTGAATATATTTAAAAATGCACTGATGTAGCCCAGTATGCTGGCCACCAACCGGAGACTCCAGGTGCAGGTAGACAGCCTCATTCACAGAAAGGGAAATTATCTCCAGGAAATTCTAAGCATATGCTTAACTATTTAAGAAGTAGGACCATGTCACAGAATGACACAAGGGACTTGCAACACAGCTGGACAACCTTTCTTTTTTGCTACTGCCACCTTATCTTGGAACACCCAGCTCCTGCATCGAAGGCAAACACACGGATGGGCATTGTTGCCAGCCGAGTGTCGTCGACCATGAAACCAGCAACGCTGACCCGAACAAAAGAGCTCCCAGCTGCATCTGCCACGTTCGCTGCAAGTGCTCTTTGCTCGAGTCGGCTGCAAAATGTACGCACCAGTAGAAAAGTGGAACCTGACTGTCTGGCAACAAATCTAAACAGCTAGCACTCTTGCACATGACTCTTGCATCTAAGTTTAAAGAGATTTAACGTTTTCCTCCATGCTGTGTGCTTGTGTCGCCTGCAAGAGCCACTGTGCAAGAGTCTGGTACAAAGCCAAGAGGTTGCATTGGCACAAAGGCTCCTCTAAATGGCACCTTGGAGCAGCAACGAGGCCAAAGTGAGCGGGCAAAGAACGTTTCGAGCAAACAAATTCTCTGACAATTTTCAGAATCAGCACGTATAGATGTAGATGTTCATAGATTTTCACCTGGAGTCTCTGAGAAAGTCTTTTTCGGTACAATCATCCACTACTCCACATCCAATTGCACATACCAGAAAACCTTGAGGACGTTCTTCTAAATGGCCAGACTGTTGCCAAGCAACCTTTGAGCGAACTCATGCCAAGGGACTTTTGCAGCTGTGGGTACTTCAGCACGAGCATATTCCAAGCTGCCAGCATCTGCTGGATATTTGTTAAGAGCAGAGTGTGAGGAGATACCCCGTCGGCACTCCTTAAGGAGAGCATCTTCACGTGGGCAGGAAGGATGGCCAGCACCGTTCCTGCACTGTTCGATCACTGTCACAGTTCGTCCAAGGTCTCTGTGATGATCGCATGAAAGTATTTCTCACGAAGAATGTGTTTGAAAAGCCAGCCTGCGATAAGCCCAACACCAATAGCAATGCTGAAGGGCTCACAGGCATCGGTTTCATATTTTTCTTTGCAGCTGTCCATTGCTTCAAGGCTACATCCAAATGGTCTGGCTCAAATGTTCTTGCATTAGCGCTGCAGCATAAAATGCCAACAAATTCCTAAATAGTTTTGGCCATTAACACAGTATAACACAGTGGCAGGATCAATCACCCCAAAAACCACTTCGATGTTTGGCAATCCACAGCAGGCGGGTTCAATTTGCAAGATGTTCGCTTCGCAATGAACCAATCCCATCTTTATCCATCTGTTAAGTCAGTTGAGGGGTTCACTCGAATGATGTGAATGGCTAGTTTCCTTGGTGGCACAGGGGCTGTCATGTCAGGTCTTGGGGCATTGACTCATGCTTTCTGGAACTTTCTGAGCTATGCCAGCGGGGCCTGGGAACGTGGCGCCTTGAACATTTTTGTAAATGACCATACAACAACGTCACTGATGCCTTACGTGATTTTGTAAGCTCACAGTGCCAGGTAACTTTTAATGGCATCAGCTGCAACATTGGATCATGAGTCGGATCAGCCTGCACACGACTAAACTCAGAAGGTTTGATAACTCGGCAAAAAGCTGAGGCTCCACACCTCTTATGACTTTCATGAAAGTGTCACCCTGAAGACCTTGCAACCTAGGTGATGACAACCAGGCCAGGCCTTCACTGGGAATCGGCCATCCTGAGCCTCGAACTGCTTTCGCATCTCATTCACCGCCTGGCCATGCTCCATCCGAGAATGTGTTCCAGGCCCGGCCCTACCCGATGCGCTGCTTCAGCTTGGGCTCTCGGAACGTCACAGCTTAGTTTTTCTGACCATCCCCTCAGCTTGGCATCTAATGACTGCGCCCAAGTCACGTGCTTCCGTCGATCTTCGACGCACTCTCCTCGCAAAATGCCAGTCATAACCGACCAAACACCCAAAGCAAAGCTCTTCAGCCAGTGTGATCGATTCGATTCGATAGCGCTCGAACTGCTTCTTTGGGTTTCCGAACTCCAAGCGCTCATTGTCACCTTTCACACCAAGAAAAGGCTGGTATAAAGTCAAAGGTAGCCATATATGTCTCTCTCTATGGCATATATGGTCTCTCTCTCTCTCTCTTTGTGTCTATACTTCATCATACTTCCCAATGTGCCTGGAGGAGAAGTGTCTGGTCGCGCTGCTCTAGGGACATCAAAAACACGGCCTAGCAGCCCAACATCTTCGCACACGATCTGATCCACATCCATCATGAACAAGTGCCTTACTAGTAGTAACAAGTGCATCGCTTCTAGTAACAAGTGCCTTACTACTAGTAACAATGTTTGCTATTGGAGCACTCTTTGAGCTCACATCATGGAATCACTAACAGCGTGTGCACCTGGCGTTTTTGCTGCGTGTGCAAGTGCCTTTGCCGCAGCTGTGAGGCCTTGAGACTTGCCGCGCTCTAAGCGCGTGGGGTCGGAGTGTCGGAGTGTTAACTTGGAAAGTCACATGAAAGCAATTAACTTGGACAGGTTGTACCAACATCAGTCAAGTGGAGTCAACTGCGAAATGCGAAAGCCTTGAAAGCGCAGATCACATCACGCCTCCACCTTGAGCTGTTGGGCCTCCACAAAAGTGTCAACAAGGATTTGCACATGTCGAACGCTTCCTCTCTGGGAGGGCGATACATGTATATTATATAATCTTGTTTGTCCTCATCAATGTCAAAAACCATGCCCCTGCCGTGCTTGGCGCTGTTGAGTCAATCACTCTAACAAACACTAACAAGAAACCCATCTCTCCCTAATGGCCTCCTGCTGTGCCTTTTTGGCCTCCTCTTCGTAAAGGCGCTGAGTGATGTCCATGTGTTGGTCCTTTGCTGCCACTCGTTGGGCTCCCACCATATGATCTATGCCATCTATGCGGTCTTGATGACTCTGAGTAAGAGCCCGGCCCGTTGATTTTCCTCCACCAGTTCTCTCCATGCAGCCCTGTGCCCCAAACACAGCAGGAAGATTTGGTCCAGAAGAGGCAAGCTGCCAACACATCCAAGGCAATGTTTTTAGAGCAAGTACCCATGGCAGAGCCACGAGTCCTGAGGCCAAAGCCAAAGGATAGGAAGAAGCACTTCTTTCTGTCCCTGTGCTGCGCTCAAACTGCAGCTCTTTCTCTCGCTAATCAGCGGAAAAGGCACACACAACCACGCACCAATAACATCAACATGCCATTCAACACCTACCATAAATAAAGAACAACCAAAACATGCGCACGCAGCTCACACCTTCAGCTTTTGGTCGACGGCTGAGAAGGCCATCACCGATTGCCGCATCCTGACATGTAACATTTCAGCACGAACTCACCACCGGATTGGTGGCTTTTGTGTAAAGATCAAGGGTTCAAGGGGAGCAACACGAAAAATGCTAAAGAGCCGAAGAAACCGCCAGTGCCCAAAAGTGGCAAAGCATCGGACCCTTTTCGCGCGAAGTGCTCTTTGACTTCACGTCTCCACACAGCTGGCTTTTCCAAGCATGGAGCTACGTTCGTAGCGTCCGATCGCTCCTGGTAGCGATGCCAGGAGCCCTTAGTAGCTACATGCTCCTAGTAGTACGGACAGGAGCCCCTAGTAGCGTCCTTGCTACTAGTAGAATGGTTCTTCTGACCTTTGCTGGAGCAAGGCGAAATGTCCCTTGATGGGCAGGACTGCAGCGACTGTTGGTCTCCTGCGTCACTCAGCTTCACCCATGGTCTCCTGAGAGCCGGTTCCAACAAGATCAACATGTGCTACGTTTTGACAGGTTCATAGTCAAAGTCTCATGCAAATGCACCCCACTTTGCATTGCAACCCGGTAACACGAACCGATATATATATATATATAACATTTGGGGATATTTGGGTTTGTGCCATCCGAAGCACCGCACGTCATGGCACCGTTATGGACATCCACACGCTAACTGTAAGTCACCTTTTGAGTTGATAAAACCATCCTCTTCAGTTGAGAACCCTTGTCTGCATTCTCTAAAAGTTTGAAGCAAGACTCTTTCAAGGTCTCGATCTTCTGAGGCAAAGCAGTCCAAAACTCTGGTGTCATCTTCCTCAGAACTTCCACATGGAACAGCGTCGAGCTGAGATTTGCTTTCTGAGAGCTCAAAAGCCGATCAGGGATTGTAAGGATTCAGCCAACTCAAAATTAAGTTGCTGAATGACCCAGGCAAGTGTCTGATAGTTGAAGTATTCCCAAGCGATTTCGGGAAAACGTAGCTTGTTCTCCTCTGTCCAGAACTGATGCCAAAGCCTTGTTGCGTATTGTCAAGAATGGAGCCAACACCAAAACAGCAAAGCTGAACGGCGTATGGACAATAATTAAAACAACATTTTCTCAAATGCTTTGCACAGCTTGACACTAGAAGGCCACACATTTTGTTCGAGCTTCTTGCCTCCAAGTCACGTCACCGAGGGGTCTAGCGACACCGAGTACCACCACCAGCCAGAAGGGATCACCTATGGCAGGAGCTAGGCAAGCTCAAGGCAGCCTTTGAAACCGTTTGATGTTTTTGACGGTCTCAACCATGCATGAATAGCTCATTACTGTAGATGCCACCTTACATGTGTCGATGAAACTTCAATGCACATGGTGGCAAACTCTTGCACAATCCTTTTGCGTGCTTTGTTGAACAATTATATACATATATATTGGGGTCAGTTCACTATCTAGGTCAAAGAATGTGCGAACGACTATGCCTCCACTTATTTTTGGTATTTAGCTTCTTAATCTCTGGTCCCTCATGTGCATATGCACAGAAGTCAAATTCTGCAACCACTTCACTGCTGAATTTCTCAAGTGAGTGTGCATTGCAAAAAGAAGAACTCCGTGACCCCATATAGGATTTTATGGCGAAGGAACATCGACGTTAATCCTTTGGTTGCGGGTCTGCATTTTTGAACATGCCCTCCCTCTAACAAACATGGAAGTGGACATCAACCGCAACCCATGGTCCTTCCCATGGTTAAAGGGAGGGCACACACTGCAATCATCTCCGAGTCGCTAAAGTCTGGCCCAAGTAGAGGACTGCTACCTGGCACTTGGCTTCAGCGAAGAGCGGGTGTCGCTTGGCGCTCGGCGCCAGGAGATCCACCTCGCGAGTTGAACCCACGGGTCGTTGAGGGTGGGTCGTTCTGGCCGGACTGGATGCTTTTTGAAGTGTCAAATCCAATAGCTTCTTGCTCCTAGTAGCGGTGCCAGGAGCCGCTAGTAGCTCCTTGCTCCTAGTAGTACGGCCGGGAGCCCCTAGTAGCTTCTTGCTCCTAGCACAACATCCCTGGACTTTCCAACTAGAACACATTTCGGGGCAAATCCAAATAAGACATCAACCAGTCTTGCTTGTAATATAATTCCTGGCTCGCAACATCATGACTGCTTTTGGTCTCTGGGCCCCGGTACCCCGCTGATGCTCGTAGCAAAGCCGCTGGTCTCCTAGGGTCCGGAGCAAATAGGATGAGTGGTGACACTGAGATCCTACTATATATATGTAATATAAATATATATATATAACACTGAAGAAGGCATCAGAACAAGAAAGGCATTGCAGAAGTCCATCAAAAGAATGGCACAGCATCGAGCTCGTGAAGAAGCGCCCAATGACTTCCTTGCTTACCAGAAGGCGACGGATGAAGACTTGGGAGACATCCTCCTTGTGGCCGCAGAAAGGATGGATCTGTTGCTCCGAGATCCACATCACTTTCTGAAGAAGAAACCTGAAGGTGAGCCACATGGACGCATTCCTTTGGTGCAACAAAAGAAGGATCTCATCGCTCACTTGCTTCAGAATCCTGATCATCAAGGTCACTCGTGGGAGGCTCACCGAAGCGGCGCTCAATGCACACAATGCAGGTGCAAGATCCATGTGAAAAGCTTGCTCCAGGAGATCAAGCAAACCATGACCAAAGAATGCACCGAGCCGGTCATCCACAAGCCCACCAGAACGCCCAGGATGACGGTGATTCAGCAGCTTTTGGATGCCCAAGAGGAGCCACAAGAAGGGATCCATTACCTCAAGTTGGATCGTGCCTACTTGAGGTGCACAAGATGCAAGTCCTACATCCTCGCCAGGACCAAAGAGCAGGCATTCGAAGCCTTCGTGGGCGAGACCTGTCACTTCGGACCCATAGAGCCCACGGCTTGGCAAGGCCACAGAAGCCACTTGATGGTCCGTCAGGGCATGGTAGCAGAATGCTCCAAGTGCCATGCCAAAGGCAGGTTCGTCGACGGACAGGTCTCCATAAGCAAGAAGCTCAAAGAGCCTTGCCCAGAAGCGAATCAAGATATTCGCAACATGTTCTGAGCACCCAGTAGCACGGAAAAGAATCGTGTAAAAAAAAATATATATAACACAGATACATATATATATATATTATATATAAATATTCACTTATAACATCTCAAATGCACGGAAGAATGGCGGAATGCCATAACAACATCTTGCATCATAGTATACGCGTGGAACCCGGCTCTGGTGTCTAGTCTTATCTGTCTCCAAGGCTGGCTTTCAATATTCTTTCAATAGTTTCTGCACGTCCGCAAAGGATGACACGCACAAAGCGAAGGGTGTACCAAAACGGACACTTGAAACAAACCCAACTGAGACGGTTGGAAGCCGCTTTTGCACAAGCCTGAAAAAGGTCTTCAGGCTGAAACCTTCAGGTTATGAGCCCAAGGTTGAAGGCGTAAGACCCGGCTAGAGGAGGTCGATCGCTGGGCCGCCCTGCGCAAGCGAAGCCATGTCGGTCATGGCGAGGCGCCGACGTCAGGTGCCTGGAGAAGGTGGAGAAGATGATCCTGACGATCAAGGACACCTCCTTCTACAAGAGCGGCAGCTGGAAGAGGAGCAGCTGGCGTTAGAAGATGGTGAAGAAGAGGGGGAAGAGAAGATGGAAGGTCCGAAAGGACCGCCGACCACTTTGACGCCGATGACCCCGCTCTTCACACCAGAGCAGCTGAAGGGACTTCATGAAGTGCAGAGCCAAGCTCCTCACCTATATGCTCAAGTCCCGAGGCAGAGCATCTGGCAGCCTGGTCTAGGGAACAGGTCGCCAGAGGAGGTGAAGAAAGAGAGACCCACGTTCCTGCCGAAAGAAGAAGGTCCGGTGGGAGTGCTTCCACAGACGAGCACGACGACGGGGACACCATCACCGGCACTGGTGGGCGATCATGTACCAGATGACCAACGACGTGGACGACCAAGAGAACCTGAAGTACAAGAGCCTGAAAGTGACAGCGATGGGCAACAACATCCCCAACCTAGAGAACAATCGGTGGCTCAGATCCAAGGGAATGGACCGGGAGGAAGAGGTCTACATGTTCCAAGAGGCTTTGGACAAACTGGCCCACCTGGGTACATCATGCCCCATGAAGAGAGGAGGGGACCTATGCCGCATCAAGGAGGATGGCAAGTTCAGCTGCATCCCTATGGCCCTGGTCCGCCGAATCCACAGGAGATGATGACCATGTTGGCGATGTTGAAGCAGGAGAATCAGCAACTGCAGATTCAGCAGGCAGAGCTCATGGACGCCATGAAGTACCAGACACCGAGCCTGGAAGCCAAGGTCCATGACCTACAACGTGAGCTGGAGCAGCAGGCCTTCAGAACGCCAGAAAGCGATGAGCCTGTGAAGCGTCAGCTGGAATTGACGGTCGACGAACCTCTGAGGGAGACGGATTTGGAGGTGGAAAGATGCCGGCTGTATGAGTTGACTCCCATGCAACAGTTCGAGCAACTCCAATCCTTGATGGGGACGGTCACTCCGGCGCCAGCAAAGCGAGGTGGTCGGGGGCAAGGACAACGAGAGAGGTCGAGATCTCAAGGTCCGAGAACTGCACGTCAGGGAGGAGGTCAACCTGAGGGCTTGGTGGCATCTCGGGCGAAGGGCTTCGAACCGGAAGGGAGACAAGGGACCGGGAAAGGAGTGGGTCAGCCGAAGAGGAAAACCATCGCCGAGCAACCTGGTCGATCTTCAACAGCCAAGGCAAGGGAAGAACAACCTGGGGAAGGTGGTGGTGGCATGGCCGATGCGATGTCCAAGTTGATCACTTACCTGGTCGACAAGGATAAGAAGCAAGAGGGGCGTGAGTCGGTCAAGCCGGGAACAGTCACACTTCCAGTCCTGGCAGAGCCATCTGATACGGCCCCCATCGACCTGGCTGACTGGCTCACCATGGTGGAACCGGCGATGACAGATCTCAGTGATTCGTCGGGTGAGTGGTGGGAGTTGGTGGTGAGCGAAGCAAGGGCCTGGTACAAGCAGTACATCAAGCTTCGTCCGATCCAGAGGGCCTCATCCAAGATCGAACCGTCGGCAGAGCTGCAAAAGCCGAAATGGGCTCGAGTGGAGAAGAGGGCCATCAGCATGCTGCTTTCTTCAGTTCCCACGACAGTGAAGAGGAACTGGTAGCAACGAGGACTTTGTCACCGCTGGGGCTGGTGAGCAAACTCATGGTCCTCTATCAACCAGGGGGTGCTCATGAACGCACCATCATCCTGCGGCAACTTGAAGATCCGCCAGAAGCAGGGTCGCCAAGCGAAGCCTGCATGGGACTCCGACGCTGGATGCGCTGGCTCAGGAGGGCCACCGACATTGGCCTGAACCTTCCTGATGCGATCATCCTCATGAAGGGCATCAACAAACTTAGCAAGCGGATCCTCACTCAACAACCGGATCTGCAATTCAGATGTGCCTTGGTCAAGAACACCTTGCAGCTTGATACCATCCCCAATGAGGAGACTGTTCGGACGTACGCTGAGCATTTACTCGCAGAACTTGAACAGCTCATGCATCGAGTCCGACCGTCTTCGAGTACCACGAGGCCTGGAAATCAGGGAGGTGGACCATTGGCAGTAAAGGCACTTCAAGGGGAAGATAGAGAAAAGAAGGGAGACTCGCCAACGACATCAGCGAAGGGTCCTTGTCGATATTTCCTCACAGAGTCTGGATGTCGAAGGGGGCAGTCGTGCAAATGGGCACATCAACTGGAGACTGGCGACAAGCAGAACCAGGAGAGGAGGTGCTTCACGTGCGGGGCCACACAACATCTGGCTCGAGACTGTCCAAGGAAAGAGACGGCAAAGAAGGGAGAGGGACCTCCATCCGGCCAGAAACCGAGGCTCCAGAAGCTTTTGGACAAAACTGGTGGCGGTGGAAATGGGACCTCGCAAAGTGAGTCGGGGGCTTCAATTTCTCCTCAAGCCGCATCCTCGCAGTCGGTGACCTCGGAGGCGGTGTCGGATACAGCGACAAGAACTGCAGACCCAATCAAGAACGTGCTTGATGAAGCGCACAAGTTGCTCAAGGGCATGAACCTCGAAGAAGAAGGGCAAGATCGTGCAACGGACCTTGGTGCGACGTTGAAGAAGCTGAATCGAGCATGGGAAAAAGGTGGCCCAGGGCTACGGGCAGTCAAGATAGCTCGAGTCCAACAAGGCCGAGAAGGACTTTTGGATTCTGGGGCAAAGCACGCTCTGAGGCCCAAGCTCAGAAAAGAAGATCTTCAAAGATATCGCCAAGTGAGGGTGACGTTGGCTGCTGGAGGAGCACAAGACATCCGAATGACAGAAGGGGAGACGTTGGTCCACAACAGTGAGAATGTGGAGCCGATTGTCCCGGCGGGAAGGCTTGTTCGCGACTTGGGATGTCGAATCGAATGGATGGGGGAAGCGTGCACCTTGGAGCATCCAGTCAAGGGCAACATTGACCTCAGGGTTGAAGCGGGGTGCCCTCAAATGGACCGTGATGTCGCGTTGGACCTCATCAGGGAGTTGGAGGAATCTCGGTCGAGGACGGCGTTGAGGTGCTACCGGTTTGGGGAGACACGTCGACTGGCTGGACCGGGTTGTGGCAGATTGTCCGATCTTTGACAAGGTCCCGATACGAATCAAGGATCGCTTGGTGGACACCCCAGCAAGGAATCTTGATGTCCTTGGAGCCAATCGACGCATCCGTAAGCGCTGGAGAAATGAGGGAGTGGTTGTCCATCTGTATGCTGGCAAGAACGAGGGCTACGACCTCACACGGGCGCTCAAGGAGGCTGGTGGAGACACTACGAGGTTGTTGGAGGTGGATATCCTTCGAAGCCAAAGTCATGACAT